ATAAATAAATAAAAACTGGAATCCAGCCGGAGACGACCGTCTCCGGCTGGAACCAGTTTTTTTTTTTTTTTTTTTTTTTAATTTAAATAATTAATTTTTAAAATTTAAATTTTAAAAAATAATTAATTTGGAAGGATGACCTGTTGACCTGTTGGAAACCTTCTAATTGAAAGAATTGTTTGAAATTGATTAGTTTAGGGACCCAATTGTTGATTTTTTAAGTTCAGTGGCCTAATTGTTTTATTGTGTGCAGTTCGATGGCCTATTTGACCCTTATTCCAAATATAAAAATGGAACCAAGACTATGTGGTTTAATGGTACCCAGGTTGGATTTTTATTTAGAAGATTATGAGTTCAAGTCTTAGTAGAGACGTTATTGGTTTTTTGTGTTTCAGCAGGTTGAGAAAGTATATGAATAAATACTAGAGTAAATACCCAAAATGGTCCCTCGACTATAGCTAAATTCATAAATTGGTCCTCAACTTTCAATTTCACCCAATTAAGTCCTTAACTTTGTAATTTTAACACAATTTGGTCCTCTGTTTATTTGACCGTTTGTTGACTGTGATTTTTGAGGATATATATGTAATTTCATGGTCCATCGTCGGTTTTTTAAGGTTCCGATTGCATTTCCAGACCGCACTGTTACATTTGAATCCACTGTCGAAAGCAATCTACCAAATCCGGTCACCTTCTTCATCCTCCCTTTAAATTCAATGTAGTTGAATTCGTACCAGAGCGAAGAAGACGACGTGTTTCCGAACCGGTGCAACGTTATCCTGGTGGCCTCCACGTGCTCCGACGAGAGCTGAAGGTTCTTCTGGAGATCGTCGATCACGGTCAACAAACGGTCAATTAGATGGAGGACCAAATCGTGTCAAAATTGCAAAGTTAAGGACTTAATTGGGTGAAAATGAAAATTGAAGACCAATTTGTGAATTTAGCTATAGTCGATGGACCATTTTAGGTATTTACTCTAGATACTACAATGTAATAGGCCAGTAACTTTCAAAAAAATATAAAAATGGAAAGGTGTGTTTGGATGTTGGAGGAAAAGGGAGCACGTGATCACGTGGCAGCAATGTAGATGCGCTGTTCCAGGCTGATCTCAGCCGTCAACATCAATCACACCTCAGATTACTTATCCAGCTGGCACCTCTCTCTTTTTTCCTAGCTGGCTTTTCTTCGGTGGAAGCAATCAATATTCCTTTTTTGCATGCCCACCTTCTATTTGCTTGTTTGTACAACACCTCCCAATTTTGGTTCAATTTTATATATTTATAAGTATATATAGTTTGGATTGATAATGACATATCATCTATCAGGTGAATTTTCAATTTTTTTTTTTATTCCAACAATCGAATTTGAACCGAGTACTTTAGAGATTATGACCATATTTGACAATCAACGATTAGCGGTAGTTAATGGATTGTGTCATCTGTTACCGAATAATGGATTGTGTTAAGTTACATTTTTAAGTTAACCCAATCTAAACTATAAAAAAAAAAAAATTATTCATTTTTAAGTTACATTCGTTATAAAAGGTACTGGTATCGATTTACACCTTATCATTTACATTTATCTCTTTTTTATTGAATAGCCTGTACCATTTTTTTTATAATAATATAATAAATTTTTAAATGATTTTTTCTTTATAATAAATGTGATTAGAGGTTTCTTTAAAAAAAATCAAAATATGTGACATATGTAATGCTCTATGAAAATACATCAAAGTATTCTCCATTTTGGTTTGAAACTTCATTTATAAATGAGTTAATACCCAAAATGGTCCCTCGACTATGCCATAATTATCAATTTGGTCCTCAACTATCATTCTTACCCAATTAAGTCCTCAACTATGTAACTTTTACTCAATTAAGTCCTAAACTATACAATTCTTACCCAATTTAGTCCTCAACTATACAATTCTTACCCAATTTAGTCCTCTGTATTAATTTGACTGTTTGTTGACTGTCAAAAGTCGGGATAAAATTATAATTTTACAAGATTTCTCCTTCCTCTCCATTTAGCAGCGCCAAACCATGCAGCAATACACTTCGATCAGATTTCAATCGTCAAAAAATCATTGGAAATCAAATTCATGGGCTATCCGATGCATAACCACTACTTCGATACTAACAGGTTTAGAACCCAATCGGAGCTTATTGCTACATGGTTTGGCGCTGCTAAATGAGGAGGAAGGAGAAAACTTGTAAAATTATAACTTTATTTCCACTTTTGACAGGCAGCAAACAGTCAAATTGACAAAGGACTAAATTGGGTAAAAATTGTATAGTTGAGGACTTAATTGGGTAAGAATGATAGTCAAGCACCAAATTGATAATTACGACATAGTCGAGGGACTATTTTGGGTATTAACTCTTTATAAATGGCTAAAGTGTCATCCCACACCATGAACCATTCCTAATTACTCATGTCGCACCATGATCTTTAATAAGTGATATTTCGAACAATAAATCTGGGGAGGATAAAACGACGTTGAAGCTGTGGAAATAGTTGTCACTAACAAAATATCTATTAGTTTTATTATTATTATTTTATGTTTTTATTTAAGTAGGATTACATGCATGGACTCCATCTCATTTAATTAAAGCCACGTCACTAATAAATAAGTCCAAAGTAGCTGAAACCGACGTCATGTCATCGTCTTTACCGGAAAACCTAAAGAAATGCTAGGCGAAAAAAAATAGTTTATGGCTCGAAATACCAATTATTAAAATTAGAGTGCGACATGAATAATCAGAAATGGTTCATGGTGCGGGATGACACTTTAATCTTTATAAATTTATAGTACATTTTCAGAGATATCGATACGAACCCATATCAACTAGCACCACTTCAAACAAAGTGGATGCTGATTATGCTATGTAATATCTCTCTCGAGATGTAAATTGTACTGCGACGTAAAGTAGATACCAACTCCGATCCAGTATGTAATGTATCTCTCTCAAGAGATAAATTGCACTAGGAAGCAATGTGGATGCTAACTCTACTATGTAAACCCCCACCCCACTCCCTCTCTCTCTCCACTAGGAAGCAAAGTGGATGACAACTCCATTATGATATACAAAGTATCTCCCTTTTAAGACGTGAGGCTTGATTGAGATTGTGTGACATTCATCAAACTCGTAATCTTTTAGTACAATAATTATAATTCACCCACTCATCAACCTCTTTTAAGGCAAATACATTTATATTTTAGGCTATTTATCAATACTTTTCAAATTAAGAATATAATATTAAAGAAAATTAATGCTATCATTAGGAGATGTTTGTTTGAAACAATGTAAATTATCATCTCATAAACTCACATCGTATTTATATAACATACTACCTTTTTCTTTTGGTTTTGAGCAATGGTTTAAAGTCTTCTAACATGAGATTATTATGACTTAATTACTTTAATTCTTATCATAATTATATAAAGTTTATTCTAATGATTAATATCGGTGCCTTTTGCACATACAAAATTCAGCGAAAAATGTGTGCATCGTTGTACTTATATTATGAGAATAAATGTATTCATATAATATTCAATATAATCTCAAAAACTTTTTCAATTGTATCCGTTACAAGTACTCTGCACTTTAACATTTCTCATAATTATTAAAAAAAAAAAAACATATCTCATAGTAATAATTATTATATTGTGAATTAATTATATTACACATTAATCATTGTTAGTTAATGCATGTAGTTTATTTGTTGTAACATAAGTAGATATGAATTAATTATCAACACCATTTATTAAAATTTATCCCTCATTCTTCCATCTTTGTCTCATCCCTCAACGGGTATAATCCTGTTAATATATCGATAGACATCACAAAAAATTATTTTTAAATTTGTCATTATATACAAAACTATGAGTGACCGTTTACTGACAGGGAATTTTTGAAAACTGGAAAATAGAAAATAGAAAACATGTTTACTAACACAGTTTTCCATTTTGAAAACTGAAAATAATTTTTAAAAAACTGGAACACACCTAAAAACTGTTTTCGAAATGGGAAACAAAATCATCTATCATCTATTTAGTTATATGTCACTATAGCCACATTATTATGATTACATTCATTATCATCTTATTTTACTTATCACTATCTTCTATCTTTTCTACTTACTTTACTTATTTAAACATAATTTATTTGCTTACACTTTAAAGTTAGACATTATTTATATTATCAAAATTAAGAATTAAACTTTATATAATGTTTTATATTTTTATTGAAATTAATAAATTATTAGTTTGAATATTTATAATTATGTTACATTATAATACAAGTTCGGTATAGATATCGAATATTGAAATATCACATATATTAGAATTCAAAATAAAAGTTATATATTCATATACATGTCATTCAAATGAATATATCAAAAAAAAAAAAATAAATATTAGCTCAAATATTAATATTATCTAAACTAAATTTTAAGTGAAAATTGGAAAAATTAGAAAACAGAGAACAATTTTCTGTTAGTAAACAAGTTTTCTAAACAAAAAACAGAGAGAATGAAAACTGAAAAATTAGAAAACAGAGAATGAAAATTGAAAAATTAGAAAATAGAAAACAAATAACAGTTTCTATTAGTAAACGGACCCTGAATTTTTCACTTACATTTTTCTCAATGAAAAAAGTGTTTTTTTGTTGCCCTATCTTCGTAAAACTTATTCGAATTCGGTTCTATTCGTACTTTCTAATTCTCTTAATCAAGAGTTATTTGACATGGTAACTCAGTTGATTTTTTTGTAGTAGATTATATATAAGGGTACACGATTGAGACATGACAATTATATTAGATGTTTGGTAAATAGTTATTAGCTATTAGCTGTTAGCTGATTACATTTTGAAACAATAAGTTGTTACAGAAAATTAATTAATTAAAAATTTATATTGAATACTTAACAATAATGTCAAACAACTAATAGTGGTTTATAGGATTATTTAATTTTAGAGAAAACATTTTTATTTGAACATTTAATACCGAATTTAACATTTTTATTTAAACAGCTGTAGTATATATATATACGAGGCGTTGAATTGACCATTCTGTGGCCTTTCCTTCTCTGTAACACTTCATCTCCTCTCTCTCTCCTGTCTTCTCCCACAAAATGCCATGTCTATAGATCCATACATAGATATAGAGAGAGAACGAAAGGAGAGAAATTCAAGGATTCCTGCGGAAACCCAAGACCCAGCATTCAAGAATGAGGAGTTCTGGGTTTCACTCAATCAGAGCCGTTTTCTTGATCTTGATCGCGGCGTTAGTGCCGTTGGATTGCATCGGGATTCGGAGCGTCCCGGAGAGAAACGGGTTCGGGTTTTCCGAGGCGCCGGAGTACCGGAACGGCGCGGAGTGTCCGGTGAGGCGGGGGGAGGGGGAAACGGCGTCGTGTTGTGACCCGTTTCTGGTCCACATTGCGATGACGCTGGACTCGGAGTACCTCCGCGGGTCGATGGCGGCGGTGCACTCCGTCCTCCGCCACGCGTCGTGCCCGGAGCAGGTGTTCCTCCACTTCGTCGCCGCCGAGTTCGACGCCGTGACGCCGCGCGTCCTCACGCGCCACGTCCGATCCGTTTTCCCGTCGCTCAACTTCAAGGTCTACATTTTCCGGGAAGACAGGGTCCTAAACCTAATTTCCTCTTCGATCCGCAGAGCCCTCGAGAATCCGTTAAACTACGCCCGGAACTATCTTGGAGACATGCTCGACGCGTGCGTGACACGCGTCATCTACCTCGACTCCGACGTCGTCCTCGTCGACGACATCCTCAAGCTCTGGAACGTCCCCCTCGCCGATTCCCGCGTCGTCGGAGCGCCGGAGTATTGCCACGCCAATTTCACCAAATATTTCACCGATTCCTTCTGGTCCGACCCGGTTCTCCCGCGGGCTTTCGGGTCCAGAACCCGCACCCCCTGCTACTTCAACACCGGCGTCATGGTCATGGATCTCCGGCGGTGGCGCGCCGGAAATTACAGACGGAAACTGGAGAAATGGATGGAGCTTCAGAGGAAGAGAAGGATTTACGAGCTGGGATCGCTGCCGCCATTTTTGCTGGTGTTTGGTGGGCTTATCGAGCCCATTAATCACCGATGGAACCAACATGGGCTGGGCGGGGACAACGAATTGGGCTCTTGTCGGGCCCTGCATCCCGGCCCAGTAAGCCTGCTACATTGGAGTGGGAAAGGGAAGCCATGGGTGAGGCTTGATGAGAAGAAACCCTGTCCGTTGGATCATCTCTGGGAGCCCTATGATCTGTACAATCAAAGGAAGCCAAAGTTCCAACATGCATTAAGGGATAGTACCAGCAAGTTAGAGTTGTCCAATTATTTCATTTGAATCGGATCTTTTTGACATTTTTTTTGAGTTTAGGGTTTGTATAGATTGATGATTGGTTGGGAAAAAAAAGGATAGAAAATTAGAGGACTTAGTTGATTTTTTTTTTTTTTTTTTTTTTTTTTGTGGTTAAAATTCATTACTTAATGAATTGTACTTTTTTCATAGCATTATTTCTTTGGTGCATTTAATTTGATATGAAACATTGATGAGAGTCAAACTTAAATTTATTATTCATAGAAGTGTAATTTATTACTAGATCGTGTTAGAAATTTTAAAATTATCACTCGTTATTAGTCATTTTTTGACGTGTAAAAGTTAATTTACGAGTAGTAATTATAACCATATGAGATGTATGTGAAATATTTTTCATTATATTATTATTAAGGAGGAATTATCATTTTGGTCCCTTAATTGTTTCTCAACTGTCAATGTAGTTCATAATTTTCAATTTCAACCAATTTGTTCTTCAAATTGTTTAAAATTTCGTCAATTAAACATTTCTAAAGACCAAATTGACAAAATTTTAAAATCACCATTTTGGTCTCTGAAAGGGTTAATTGATAAAATTTTAAACAATTCAAGCACTAAATTGGTTGTAATTGAGAACTATGAACTACATTGACAGTTTTGAAAAATAATGAGGAACCAAAATAATGATTAACTCTCTTGTTTAAACTACACTTTGAACATGTGATTGTATGTAATATCATATATACTATTGCATTGAGTCATGTTGAAGGCTAGCTCAATTGTGACCGGGGTTGAATAGTTGGCATGCATTCAACTTGGTGCATTGAACTATGTTTGCAAAATCCTCATCTCCTATGAAACATGTGTGATGAGATTCTAACTTTAGTTTATTACTTAAAAGAGAACATAGTTTTTTTATTAGATACACTTTAAATTGACACTTTACTATCATAATGTCGGATATACTATTGAAACCCTACCAAATGGGTCCATCAATGGGCCATGTTGATTGTTGAAGGCAAACTTGAAAGGGACTTGGGTTTCCATAGATCTACATTTTATGGCAAGAATCTTGTGTGTTCTCAATATCAATCATTTATCACAACATATTCTCTCCCCTTTGGTAAAGGAAAAATAATGTACTTTCACTTGTTATCCATAACAATGATATATATATATATATACAGTCTAAGGTTCCCGTGTGGTTGAATGCTTCCCGTGCGGTTGTGCGGTTGATTAATGTGCGTGGGGTTTGTACTCAATGTGCGTGAGTATTGTGCTTAATGTGTTTGAGATTTGTTCTTAATGTGCGTGAATTTTGTACTTAAAGTGTGTGAGTCTTGTGCCTAAGATGCGTGAGTTATGTGCTTAATGTGCGTGAGTGTGTTCTTCATCCACTACTGTGAAAATTATGCGCATCCACTGCTGCATTTTCTTCTTGTTTTTTTTTTTTTTGTTTCAAAGTGGTGGAGGAATGAATTTTGTCTTGTTTTTAACATAAAATAAAAACAGCCATATGTGCGTTTACATATATCCATCCATTCACACACAAACATAAAATAAGAACAGCCATATGTGCGTTTACATATAGCCATCTGTTCTACTTCTTTCTGAGCTCTTAATTCTGAACTCAAGTCACGCACATTAAGCACAAATTTCACGCATATTAAGCACAATACTCAGGCACATTAAGTACAAATGCACATGATCCCTTCCATATATATATATATATATATATATATATATATATATATATATATATATATATAGTTTGTTTAATGCTAGTGGTTGCCCACTTAGTTGTATGAGATGAATGGGAGAATGGGAGTTGGCAATGATTTAAAGCTAAGGTTGCACATGTGGAGTTTAGTATAATGAAAACAAGCCATCAATGCCTTATAGAGTTATAGTGGGTTAGTTCCATTTCTATCTTTTTCTTTGTCTTTTGCTTGGGAAGAGAATAATAGTGTTTAAAAAGTGAAAATTATAATTTCGAGATTATAAGTTCAGTTAGATTAGAATATATTTGGTTGAGTAAATTACCCTTCATCTAGTTGAATATAAGCTTATGGAAGTTGGTGAATTTCACGTGTTATTTTTATTAATAAGCAAACGGTTGGCTATATTAAATTTTTCGAAAGAGATTTTAAGTTCTTAATCTCTTTTAAAAGATGATAGTATACGATCACTCACGTAAGTTCATACAAGAAGGGATTTTTTTTTATAAAATACTCTTGTTTGCTGTGAAAGTGGTGGTCAAGTGGGTGAAGTATAATTTTTATATTAAAGATCAAGTCAATCATATAAGATCTTCCTAATGTAATTTACCTCTCCTATGTGACTGCTCCGATAATGATAATAAATTTCTTTCATCATCTAAGAAAAACAAATACTCTCAAATTTAAAATTTTACAACTCAATAAATCCTTTAGGGGGTGTTTGGTTGGCATGAATTGCGTTGGAATTGAATTTGCAATTCAATGAAATGATAAACTACATTGTTTGGTTGGAGGGAATTGCAATTCCCTCAATTCATTGATTGCAATTCATAGGTCCCCCTATGAATTGCAATTCAATGAATTCATGCAAAGGGAAAGGGAATGAAAAGACATATTTGTCTTTGAATGTTATTATTAATATTATTACACAAAGGGTATTTTAGTCTTTATATCACTTCTCCCATTTTCATTATTCCTCCCTACCAAACAATGTAATTGTAATTCCTACTTTATTCCCACCTTATTCTTTTCCCACCGATTTACAATTCTTTTCCCCCTTAATTCATTCCTTCCAACCAAACGCCATGTTATAGTTACTCCATCAAAGTTTGGAATTTGGATAAGGGTTTTGGTCATAGTTTGCAAAGGATTTGCATGTGACAACTTGAGACTTTGGCAATTGCAATTTGCATCAACCAAGTTTTCTAGTTTTCCGATGCACAATATATCTATTTTTGTAGCGGTTTGTCACATGATCTGTGGGTTATTATTAATACAAAATGATTAGCAGTAAACTATGGCATAATCCAGGGGGCATCAGATTCTAACTTCGATGATTTGTCATTTATTTAGTGTTCAAATTGCACTTAAAAAATGTATTCACAAATTGCACTTAAAATATAGCTTATAAAAGTTTTTAAATAATTATTCACTTGTGAAGTCGCAATCCTTCATGTGAAGTTTATAGAATTTTTTTTTTTTTTTTTTAAATAAGATTGTGAACAAACAATTTGTATTATTTTTATAGTTATTATGTTGTTTGTTTATTTATTGTTCGTAAATATAAACTATTTCTCTTTTATGAACACGTATATGTATTTTTGTTTAGCGTTCATGAACGTTAATGAACACTAATAAACGCTTATCAAACGAACACGAACAAGATTTTTAAAAATGTTAACAAACAAACACAAACAACCTCTATTCGTTTGTGTTATGTTTCTTAATTACCCTAAGTGCTAATCTCTAATGAGCTTGGTCGAGATTTGTTTGACTTAATTAGTCTCGATGTATGAGATATTAGTTGACTAGCTGAGAAAATCGAGTAACGTACTAGTTGATTGGCTTAGAAAAGTGAATAACTCTTCTTCTTCTTTATTTTTGGATAACAATGGAAACCTTGAAAAAACTAACCAATTAAGTAAGATACTAGTCGACTGGCTAAGAAAATTGAATAAGATAAGGAAAACATAGAACCATTATTTGAGAGTGTACATTATGTAAATCTTATTTATGTGTAATATCTCACAAACCATACTAAAACAATCATGTATAATGAATTTGATTGAGAAGGTGTTGACAAGAATTAAACTGATTGTTGGTTTTTGGGTTTTCGGGCCTAGGGAAGTCCAACACAACCTTGGTTTATGGATTCACCTTTCACAAAGCTTTTAGCAAAGGAAGAGTAGTTGAGATAATAGCTAGAGTATGTGTTTCTTATTCACTGGGCCTGCACCCGCCTCAATTACAAGAGTGGAGGGGCCTTTATATAGTAGGCCCCCTTCCATTCGAATTGAAGGAAATTAACTGTCGCTTTTAAGGCTAATTACAATTATAAGGCCGTTGGGCACCGTTTACCGGGTCGGCCAACGGCTCTATGGTCTTCTAAACAGCCTGCTTGGCCGAGTCTTACGGGACGCCTGCTTTGAATACCCCCATGGCTCCTGGACCGACTTAAATGCTACGTTGGACATCCTTCAACGGCTTTCTGGGCCGGGTCCTCTTAAATGAGGTTCTTTGAATGCTTCCTAACGGCTCGAGGCCAGGTCTCTCCCTATGCTCGGGCCTGGGCCGACTCCTAGACTCGGCCCAAGCTTCCATTGGGCTTCTTTCGCTATTGGCCCCCATCTCCTATCTTGGACTCCTCTCTTGGGCCCATCTTCTTGGGCCGGAGTCCTCACCCCATCACTGATAATGTTTAGATATAAGAATCATATTCCATATATTTAGTCAACATTTATGCCATGGAGCTGGGTTCACCTTGCAAGGTGGACCCGGGTCAAAATACACAGTTTATATACTAATTGTTCACAATTTACATATTGAATGTTCACAATTTGAAATTTGAATTGTGAACATTTAGGGTGTGTTTGGTTCGCACATGGAATCAGAATCGCAATGGGTATCAAATACTTGTAATGGTAATGGGTTTTAATGAAAGTATTTTGCATGTTTGGTAGTAGGGTGGAATGAGAATGATTATCAATAATGCTCTTTGGTTATGTATGATCCATTGATCTAATAATGGGAATAAAGATTTTAAAATTACAAAAACACAAAATCAAGACAATTGATTCTAATATAAAGACATCGAAAACACCAATATGAACAAAAAAAAAAAAGTAAAAACAAAAATCTAAAAGCACTAATCAAAGGGGATGATAACCTTATTTTATTTGGGTATGAGTTTTTAATTAAGGGGGTATTTGAAACTCATAGTAGTGTTCTAAAAACCTATCAACCAAACAATACCAATCACTTTGATACCAATTCCTTAGAGCCAAACCTAACAACCAAACACACCCTTAGTATATAAAATTGTGAACATTCAATATAAATTGTGAACATTCAGTATGTAATTTGTGAATATTTAGTATTTAAAACTGTGAATATTCATATGTAAATTGTGAATATTCAGTATATAAATTGTGTATTTTTGAACCCTTGTCCACAGAATAATTTGTAATACTCAGTCATTGGCAAATTTTACTGTTGGCCATGGTCTATGTAGCAGTGTGGATCATGAAGTATGTATATTATTTTAATTACACTTCAGTTTCATTTGACAATATTGCTGTGTTTTTTAGCTTCATTTTTCCTCCACACTAGTTTCATTATAGCAATACTAAAGTATCATTTTAATTTTACTAAAGTTTCATTTGATAATAAACATTATTGCTTGGACTCTATTTTTTTGTTTCATTTTCCACACACACTAGTTTAATTATACTAATGTTATGAAGTATTATTTTAATTGCACTTCAGGTCATTTGACAATATATGTTATTGTATGACTATGGATTTTAGTTTCATTTTCTATGCACACTAATTTCATTATTGTAATATTCAAGTATCATTTAATTATACCACAATTTCATTTGCTTTGAACTCTGACTTAAACTAATATAGTACCTTTCGTTTGCTCTCAAAAAAAATTATACTACAGTTTCATTTTACAATAATTAATGTGCTCTGTTTTTTAGTTTCATTTTTCACACATTAATGTCATTATGTTAACACTAAAGTATCAATTTAATTTTACTACAATTTTATTCGATAGTCATGATTCACAAAGCGATGTGTAGACTATGGTTCACCACTCCAGTGTATAAGTGACAACTGCTCAGTCATCTCGTTGGGTAAATAAGCAACTCTTTGTACTCATAATCATATGCACTTTTGTTTATTTGTAAAGTCTCCTAGAAAGCCCATTATATCAATACCAACTTTTCATTCACTACAAACTATTACCGGCCTGTTAAGGTTTACCGAGCTCAAAAGAAAAAAACTGTATCTGCACTGGCCCGCAAGCACTATCTACAGTCAGTCGTTATATCGTGGATCATGATCCAAAAACGATGCCCACCGTGACGCCCACCGTTACATATTAATGGAACTTATAATTTTGGTATGTTAATTACAAAACAAAACTACAATATATCTAAAATAAAATTGTCTCACATATTGTTTTTATATTATCAAATAAAACTATAATTAAATTGAAATGAAACTGTAGTTGTGTTGAATGAAACTGCAGTGTATATAAAATGAAACTGAATAAAAGTTTCACATATTTGAGTGTATATTATCCAATGAAACTGTAGTTATATCGAAATGATACTGTAGTTGTGTTATAATGAAACTATAGTGTATATAAAATGAAACTGAATAACAGTTCCACATATTTGAGTGTATAATGCCGAATGAAACTGTAATTGTGTTGAAATAAAACTGTAGTGTATATAAAATGAAACTGCAATATATATTGTCCAATGAAACTGTAGTTATATTGAAATGATACTGTAGTTTGTTGTAATAAAACTATAATGTATATAAAATGAAACTGAATAACAGTTTCACACATTTGAGTGTATAATGTCAAATGAAACTGCAATATATATAAAATGAAACTGAATATGTTATACAAATAGAACTGTTTTATGTGAAACATGTACGTTTCTTTTCATTAAAAGAAACATCGTCGTTTTGGATGATGGTCCACAATGCTTTGTGAGCCATGGTCCACGGTATAATTTGCCCACTTTCTATATTCATTTTAAACCCATAATTTTAACCCAATAAGTTCCATTTCTTCTTTAAAATGTCTCATCAATCTTTCCTTATGATTCTAAAAAGACCTGTGTCACAATCTCAATAAAATGGGATTGAAAAAAATTTGCTTGGCACATATTTAGTTGAAACAATGATTCAATTGGTAGTGACACTGAAAAATCATGTGGAAAAGAATTTCACAATTGCAACGATGAACAGAGGGGTATGGTAATGGTATCTGTGTATGTATGAACATATTTACGAATCTGAACTGCTGTCTCCCTCTTCCGACAAGAAATCAGCCGGTAATTTTGGGAACCTCACAGTTCTACTAGGTAACGATGACGATGATGATGATCCTGCCGGTCTCTTTCTCTGCAGATTTCTGGCGATTTCAACGCAAGCTTCATCGATCATTCCCAGGAAATCCTTTACTATGATAAACACTTGCAATGGCCGCCATGTCCTGTCGTTTGAAGATCCTCGTTGGTAATATTCCGTCGTCTTCTTCACCATCTCCATCACTCTCGCTTCCTCTTCCCTTATCGCTTCCATTTCTTCCTCCGCCGCGCCCAGAAACCGCCGCATCCCCGCCGCGAATCCTCCGCCGTCGTCCCCGCACTGGGCCGCAAGGTTGCCGATCTCAGACGCTTTAGATGACAGCGCCGAATGCGCGGCGGAGAGCGAATCGTAGTCTATTCCCGCGGCTTTCTTCACGCCGGATAACTCCGAGCTCAGGCCGCCGACGACCGGTAAACCAAGCGTCATGTATTCCTTCTCTCTGTCATCATCGCCGCCGCCTGCAACGTTGCTGATTATCCTGCAATTAGAGAGTTCAATCTTAGCTTAAAATTGATGGATTGGTTTAATAGGATAAAAAATTTTGATTCCGAACTTCATTTCAACTAAAAGTCTAAGCTGATTAGTTGGATTGTACATTAATAGTTATATGCTTAACACTGGGGTGAGTTCCAAGTAACACGTGGGCCACCAAATTGAAGCATATGATCCATCTCAACTAAAAGTCTAAGCGTCTTAAGCTGATAGTTGGATTGCACATAATTATATGTTTAACATGCCCCCTCACCCTCACGTGTGCGGTAAGTTCCAAGCAACACGTGGGCCACCAAATTGAAGCATGTTGCTCTATCTCAACTAAAAGTCTAAGCTGATAGTTGGATTGCACATTAATGGTTATATGCTCAACAATACCTGCTATCGCGAGTGTAAACGCAGCGTTTTCCCTCTGCTCTGATGAGTTCTTGAACGACGAATTGAAGAACTGTGATCTTTCCGTCACCGCTCTTCACGCCGACGAGTTTTCTGAGAGCAGAAAGCTTGAAGCCATGGCCGTTTCCTCTCGAACTCCCTTCAACATTCATCCGATTCCAGGCTTTCAAAATGGCTTCCAGAAGCTTCACAAACAGCCTGCTGTTCCTCAGCTCGTTGCAGGCGGATTCAAGCGTCTGCAAATCCGCTTTCACGTGAATAATCTCCGAGCCAAATCTCGATCTGAGAAACATCGCGTTGAAGCGATGGAAGGCGGAAGGGAATGGTTTAAGGATGAAGAACAAGAAGGATTCTGCATCGGCTAATCTTGTCGGGGGGCCTTCGAATCCTAGGATGTCTGATTCTTCTGCTTCGGTTATGGCTAATCTGCTGAGTTTTTCCAGGGTTTTTGTGTCCAGGCCGACTCCTTTGTCGAGTACATTCATGATCTCTTTCCTTGTGGCGTCCAGAGATTTGATCACCGCTGCGAATTCTTGAGATTTTTTGGTTTCCAGGATGAAAATCTGGGAGGGTGGGCCTGCAATTTCTCTTGGTGTGCTTGCTGAAGTGCTGTCTGTACGAGGAGATTTTCTGTTGGTTGCAACGGTTCCAAATAGGGCTTCCATAAGATCTCCATCAAACCTGAATTCCCCATTAATAAAAACATTATCGTTAGTCAGATCAATGATCCTAGCTTGATTTTGTATTAATAATAAACTTACAATCTCACTATCTGTTTAACATTTTGAGTAACTAAGGAACTACAATCACTATTCAAAGATGTGGACCGAATACGTTCTGACAATTCTGTCTTGTTATCCTAACTATCAAATAACCACAACAATGTAAACTAGTATAAATTGTCTACAACTGTCATTTCAAACCAAGAGTGTGTGCTAGTTAAACTATGCATTGTGACTCTAGCTGACTAGAGTTATTGAAACAGGCCTGCCAAAACCCACCATATGACGGGGCGGGCTAAAAACCCGCCAAAATACGAGCTATAAAGTCAAAGTGGGCCCACCTTTTTGGTGGGGCAAGATGGGCTAGCTTAGCGAGTTAAACCTGTTTTAACGGCTCTATAGCTGATAAAGGATCACAAGGAAATAAACCAATATAAGTTAATCTGCTCAAATCAAGAAAGTCAAGTTATAAATCGTTTCCGACCATTACTGAGGGGTGTGCACTGATAAATTCTGCCTAGTAATGAAAATACTAAATTACACTAACAGGGCGTTTGGTTGGAGGGATTTTAAATTCCCTTCCCACTTAATTCCCACTTAATTCCAAAGGTCATTAAATTCCGTAGTTTGGTTGGAGGGAATTACAATTCCATGGAATTGCAATTCCCCCATTTTCATGGAATTAAATCCCATGTCCCCCCCTAGTATTTTAATTCCTGAGAAAAAAAAGATAGTGATGAGTCAAAATTACCCCTTCCTTCTTTAACCTAAAATTAATGTCTAACAACAATAATGGACATTTTTGACTTTATACTACTTATTCCCTTTCAATTCCTATGTATACCAAACATTGGAATTGAAATTCCCAGTAATTCTATTCCTGTCAACCAAACACTGGAATTTAAATTCCCACTTTATTCCCAGTAATTCAACTCCCATGGAATTACAATTCCTTTCCCACATAATTCCCCCCTTCCAACCAAACACCCCGTAAATTGTTCCTAATTGATTGATCAAACAAAAAACGCCAATAAATTACTTCCACTATTAACATTATTTAGAAGTGGTGAAAATTCTTACTTGTAGGAGCCATCTTGAATTTTGTTCCAGTCCATGGAAGAATGATCGACATTATCCAAATGCAATGGATTCAGTTTCTCTTCTTCTTCTTCTTCATTTCCTGAAACGCCATGTTCTGATGATGACGATGACGCTAAGGTATCTGGTTTAGGCGGAGAAGGCGGCGGAGATGGAGTCTTTGGGATTGCTTGAACAGACAACGGCGGCGGAGGGATTGAATCCGTTTCTTGATTTTCTGCTTCTGCCCAAACCGGGTGCTGAGAGGTTGAAGACTTGCCTCTAAGCAGAGGGATTTCTTGAACCGGCGGTCCGGGTTTTTTCCGGCCACCGCCTCTGGCAATCATCCTTTTATCGTCATCTTTCCGATCACTCTCTATATTGCTAAAAAGTTGCCGGTCGAAACTCTCTTTCCCTTCGCCGCCTTCCAGTTTTCTCCAGTACAGCACATCCAATCCATCTTCATCCACGATCACCGCCTTAAGATTCCCTTCAAACCTCAAAAACTCGTCTCCAGTTCCGGCGGGCTTATTTTCATTACTTTCGCCGCCGCCGCCGTCGGCGGCGGCGGCGACGGCAGCTGCGGAAATCGCGCCACCGCCGCCTTTCTCCCTCCTACTCCTCAAGTACCAAAGAACCAAGAAGAAGAACAGGGCCGACAGGACCACCGTACTCGCCGCGGTTACTCCAATGGCAGTTCCGACAGCCTTTCTCGACGGAGTCGACGGCGGCTGCGGGAGCAACAACGGCGGCGGCGGTGGTAACGCCTCCGCGTCCGGGGGCGGAGGCGGAGGAGGAGGTGGCTGAAAAACTCGCCGCCGGGTCGGAATGCGCGGGGGCTGGAGAGGCGGCAAGAAAAAAGGATAGAAAGTTTGGATGTTTTGAGGGGAAATGGATTGAGAAAGAGATAATGGAGAAACAATAATAATAATAAATATGAGAATGAAGTGGAGAGAGCAGACATTCATGGCGGCTGACCAAAATGTGGCCGCCATGACTGCTTCTTCTTCTTCTTCTTCTCGGAGGAAAGATTATGGGAGGTTGGAGTTGAATGAGTGTTTTGGTTTTTGGAATTTGGCATTTCTGAAATATTCTTTGGTTTTGTTGATGGCTGATGACAGTTTCAAAAGGTAGAGTGGTTGATCTATTCTCAAGCTTGTGTGTATATATTTTTAATTTCAAGAGTGATTTTGATCTCTTAATCCACTGCTCATGTCAAAAAGAAAAAGAAAAAAGAAATATTGTTTCAAGAGGGTGATCTAGTGAATGGGGTATAATTATCAATTTATGGGTAGTGTAATAAGTTTAATTCTTATTAATATTTTATAAGTTAAACTCTGTATAAGGTCTTTTTAGTGTAATTTGAAGCTATTACACATGAAACAAGTTTATTTAATGCACATGATTCAGTAGTGATTGGTTTAAAGTGATATCTCCAACCCTAAACGCCACTCACACCTCAGTCCGACAGAACCCTAAGGGCCACTTACACCTCAGTCCGACAGAACATTTGGGAGGATATAAATCATGGTAACTCAACTAAATCACGGAGGCTAGACCTTTGTTTACTGCGCACAAGGAACCCCCTCACTTGCTCCCACACTGCCGCGGGTGAGACTCGATCCCTAGTCATTCTTTCCAAATTTTACCCTCCCAAACTTCACCCTATGACCAGTTGAGCTGCCATGCGGGCAAACATTTTCAACCCAAAGACCCACCACCCGGGTTGACCATCTATTTAGAATGATAACTAGGATGTCAGCACATTACATGGTAGTTGATGCCTCTTAATGTTACCTCTTCACTAATAATAAAATTCTTTTTATTTATTAGTTACTGTGAATTAATCTGCCACAACAAGTGTTAAAAAAGAAAACTAATCAGATATTGTCACTTAAAGGATGTGAAAATTAAAAAGTAAAATCGATAGGGAAATGCAACATTATTCAGTGATTTACAGACCCAAAACTAGAAATAGAGTGGATGAAGTATGATTTTTATGTTTAAAAAACACGAATTCAATTATTGTTAACACCTCTCAATCGAATCTATCACATATGATCTTCGTAATGCGATTTACTCTCTCAGTCATTATTCATCTTATTCAACTCATAAGTTGGTGGCATGCTATTTGTTAAGGTTGTCGGACTCGATCTCTATTGGATCTCAAAAGCTTTGAAATAACCTCAGTTGCATTTTATTTGGTACGGTTTCTAATTTTTAATGACTCAACTAATTAGAAGTTGGATGTTGATTAAGACTGCCTAATTGTCTCTGCCACAAAAAGTCAGAAAGAAGACTTCATCAAAACTACTAAGATTTAATTAAGGTTTGTTAATTGTAAATGACAACTAATATGCGATCCACTATCATTATATTTATTTTGTTGTTAGAAATTAAATAAGTGATACTGATATTAGATGCCAATCGTTATATCATGGAACCGTGTTCACCATCCATTGTGAACACGGTCCCAACGGTGTTAGTGCACCGTTATCTTTTCTTCTTCTTTTTTTTTTTTCCCCTTAATTAATTTATCTTTATTCATTTTCACATTTCACGATTTCACTTTAATTTGAGGTGAGCAATGATTTCGGATATTCATAAATTATGAATCAATGCCTGCACATTCACTTTGGAACCATGCCTACACATTCCCGTCCGAAACCATGGCTGCTCCTATGTAGCGCAAGTTTCTTCAACATTCATAAATTATGAATTTTCTGTTATGAGATTATGAATTTACAGTACATTCATAATCTCATAACAGAAAATTCATAATCTGACCAAACGCGCGTCATTAACACCACATTAGCGATTTTTTTTTTTTTTTTTTTTTTTTACGTAAAAACGGCGCCGTTTGGATCCGTGTTCACCATTTATGGTGAACATGTTTCCAGGGCATAATTTGCCATTAGATGTAGTCAAGAATTAAAACAATACTTTAGTATAGTTTGTAAATTATTACGGAGTATATAGGAGTAATATATTGTTTATCCTGTGTATTTTCTCGGGTGATAGATGCAGGATTTCCTCATTATCCATATATATAGGGATTTCAATAAGAATATGGTTCTTCTATGAAAAGTAAGATTAATCAAAATCATCTACTAGTATTTATCAATGATTAAGAATTTTAGTTTAAAAAAAAAAAAACATGAGGTCAATTGTATAATTATTAAGTTTGTAATATTTATAAAACTAATTCCGTCTATTTTCTCATTATTTTTCAATAATTCTTTATTGTTGATTTACCCAAATAAATGGATCATATCAGTCCGATACATGCACACGCATGTGTACATATGGTATATAAAACACAAAACTCGTGTTGAAATTTCGAATTTAGATTTCAACTTATATAAGTAGTGAATTTCATTATTATTATTATTATTATTATTATTATTATTATTATTATTATTATTATATGCTAATAATTTAAAAATAAATATTACGGAGTATCTTTTATCTCTCCTTTTTTAGTTCATAGATTGTCTTTTGTATATTTTTCGATAATGAGAAAAGAGTAATTAAAACAAACTACAAGTTATGTGGTTAAATCACTACTCCAACACCCTCGAATGTCATGATTTACGAACACTATCAGAAAATGTGTCATAGGTTGTTCTTCTTATATTTAAGTTATCAAATATTCATTATATATATATATATATATATATATATATATATCTACTATACTATATATATATACTAATAAGAGCCCAAGAGAGTTAGGCCTATAATGGGTAGAAAAAATGGCGGTCACAGATTTTAATCAAATGAATGGCTCAGATTGATTAAAAGATTGATAAGATTTAAATTTTACACTAAATTTTCCTAAAATACCCATACACCGTTACTAATTCCGTTAAAATTTTAAGAATTGCCGTTAGTTCACCGTTAACTTACTCATTGATTTTAATTAAAAAAAAAAATCTTAGGTTCGAACCTCATCCCAATCAAAGTTGGCATAATTAGTACTCTATTTTACTCTTATTAAATTATATAAATAATAATTTAGTAGCTACAACAAAAAATTATAGATATGCATTTCTTTAATTTAGAATTATGTGTCCACAATGCCTTTATTCAAAAAAAATTATTCATTATCAATAAATTAAATAAGAGAAATAATTGTATTAGTTATATTGTCTTTATTTTTCTACAATATAAAAATTCTTTATATTCAAATTTATTAATTGATTATATTCGCTACATTATCCTTACAATGTCTTAATTCAATAAAAAAAAATTATTCATTATCAATAAATTAATTAAGAGAAATATTTTCATTAGTTATATTGTCTTTATTTTTCTCAAATGGAAAAATTTTTACATTCAAATTCATCAATTGATTATATTCACTACATTGTCTATTATCTTTTTTGTGCACTATTTTTCTAATTAAATATCAAAGTTATAATACAAAATAATGCTATATATTTATTTACCAAGTATTTTATTAATATCATGAAAAAATTAAAAAAAATATAATTAATAAAGCCAGCCATATTAACTACTTTGAGAGATTTTGTGACAAAGAGAGTATTCAAATCACACAACAAATTGAAGTGAGAACTACCTTGCAATGTCCTTGTTTGACAATCAGCAGTTAGCGGATTATATTAGCGGATTTGACCAACGAATTTATTTAATTATTAACATTGGGTAGAAAAAATGACCGCCAAATTATTAAATCAAATGAATTATTCAAATTGTTCAGGTTTTAATTTTTTTTAAAGTTTTTCTAATTTATCCTTAATTATATAATTATCCATTTAACTTTTCCGTTAATTCACCGTTAGTCTAATTCTAATATTAACGTCTAATATAGAATTATAATTACACCATTAATCTAATTATAATATTAAAGTCTTAATAGAACTTAACCACAAATCCTAATGTCAAAATCTCCTCAAACAATATTAGTATATATTTAATATTTTATGCCCTAATTTTTATTTGTTCTCCCTTATGTCCCGTATTTGGTTTCAACCATACCTATACAATTATTTTATTGACAATTATAATCAATCTTGACTATATTATCTTGCATTTGTAAACTTAGAATTACCTATTTAACCCGCACGGGCTTAGCTCATTGGTTTAGTGGGCAGTATTTGGGAGAAGAAACCAAGGTTTGAACCTTGGCGGCGACAGTGCGGGAATTATGTCGAAAGTGGGCAGATTCCTTGTTCGCACCGGCATTTGGTCCTGTCTGCTGAACCATTGAGTCACCGTGATTTACAACTTCCCACAATGCTCTGTCGGGTCAAAGTGTGGGGGGTCCTTGGGGTTGGGGACTCAACCTTTGGGAGAAGAATTACCTATTTAAATACACAAATTCAACCTTCAATTATCTATGCATGAACAATTTCAATATAATATTGCCTTAATATACTTTAAAGTACTTATTTAAAAAAAAAAAACATTGGGCATTATTCCAATCGCGCAATGCGCGTAAAAAACTAGTATATATATATATATATATATATATATGATATTGTTCTGTTGAGTTTAATCATATTTTTTTAAAACATGTGTAAACGTGAATGATATAATAATAATTAAATTTGTTTTCATACATTATTGTGGGACTAGTTGACACACAAAAGAAAGTGGTTAACCTAATAATATGATTTAGACTTGTAGCAAATACACTCACCAAATCTACATTTATTCAAGTCCAAAAGGGCCATGACCCAATTCTACTTTTATTCAAGTCCAAAATGGCCATGACCACTAAATTCATGAAAACCACATTTTGGAAGCTTTATTCCTCAAAAGATCTTCATTTCTCTTCAAGATTTATTATAATTGGGAATTTCCAATATACCCATGTATATATACAATTTTTTTTAAAAAAAAATTGTGAGAAAGTCTGCAACTGCTTCCAAATTCAAAGTATATTTTGTATAAAGTATGCTTTGTGATCTTGGTCGGCAAAGGACTATAATAAGGTAAACTAACATAAATTACTTATAATTGATCGACTCAAAAAAATAAGACTAATAGGCAATTTCTATAGGGAGTCAAATTTGAAACCTTTTATATATATATATATATGTGTGTGTGTGTGTGTGTGTGTGTGTGTGTGTGTGTGTGTGTGTGTGTGTGTGTGTGTGTGTGTGTGTGTGTGTGTGTGTGT